GGCAAACCAGCCTTTCCTCTTTTCATAGCTTTTCCAATCTGAATTTGAATCCCAGACTTGAAATAGTTGCCCACCCATGACCTAGATCAACCTTCATCAAACTGAGTACCTGGAACAAGAAAATACAGTGGACCCTCGACGTATGCATGGCTCGACATGTGTACCTTTCAATTGACTTGTGGCTGGTGAATCGACCTACGGACCAGAAGGGGTAGGCGGGAAAAGGCAGAAGAGGGAGGCGGGGAAAGCTTGGCACTTTCATGGGAAGCATCTCGGAGGTCCCCCCCCGCCACAGATAGTGCCTTTGAAGCATGATCAGCAGCGGGGGGAACCTCCGAGAGGCCTCCCATGGCGGCGGAGAAGTCCTGGAAGGCATCTGGAGGTGCCCCACCACCGCCACTGCTACCAGGAGCCGACCCGGGTGATCCCGGCCATGCTCGGACTCCTGGACTTCCCCTGCCGCCGCCGCTGGGAGCCAAGCTGTGCCGTGCCTGGACAGCAGCAGCTGCGGGTGAAGTCCAGGAGTCCAAGCATGGCCTGGATCGCCTGGTGCAGCTCGGCTCCCAGCAGCAGCAGTGGTGGACCTCTGGAGGCCTTCCCCGCCACCATCTGAGGCCTCTCAGAGGTCCCCACCACCACCGATAGTGCTTCAGAAGCACTATCGGCGGTGGCAGCGGACCCCCGAGATGCCTCAGATGGCGGTGGGGAAGGCCTCTGGAGGTGTTCCCCCCCCTGCCAACACAGGCTTTCCCAGGGTGGAGCGGGCCTATCAGGGGAGGGCTTCTCCTTGTAGGCCCAGTCTACTGCTCAGGAAAGCCTGGGGAGTAGACCAGGCCTACTGGGGGAAGCCCTCCCTGGTAGGCCCGGTCTACAAGGCTTTCCCGGGCAGTAGACCTGCCCTACCAGGGGAAGCCCTCCCCTGGTAGGCCTGGTCCACCCTGGGAAAACCTGCGTCGGTGGGGGCGGGGGACCTCTCTGAGGCCTCGGGCAGCAGCGATGACAGTGGCAGGGGACCCCTGGAAGACTTCAGAAAGGCGGCAGCGAGGGACCTCTGAGAGGCCTCGGGCAGTAGCGATGGCGGTGGCAGGGGACTCCTGGAAGACTTCAGAAAAGTTCTATTTATTTAAAAAAAAAATTTTTTTGGGGGGGTTCTTGGGACGGTTACGGATTAAATGGTTTTCAATGCATTTCTATGGGAAATGCATTTTTGACCTACAGACTTTTCGACCTACGGACACCGTTCCAATACGGATTAATTCCATAGGTCGAGGATCCACTGTAGAGGGTTATTTCCTTAGGTAGATAATTTGTTTCTAAACAGAACAGGTGTTAAAAAAACACTCACCTTCACTCCCACACTCCCATTAGGCAACCTTTGAAGTTCATATGGCAGTTTGACTCTTTCAGCTTTTATAAAAGGATCATCGAATGCCCTCCCATGTAATTTTTTGAATCCATGCAATGTATTCTTAATGTTTGTGATGACCTATTAAAGGATATTGTCAAAATTATTTCTGAATTCGTATTAAAGCTTCCCTACTCTACCCCAATAGTTCTGAAATGCTTTTACTGATTTGACTTAGCAAAGTTCAAACTTCTTCTCAAGAAGTAGAACATTTATTCTTTTACTGTTAATCTATATGGAATACTTGTGCACTAAAGCATAGACTATACATATAGTCTGAAATTTCTAACATCATCACACATTTTTATCTGTCAGAGCCAACATCTCCAAGAACATGAAACTTAGACACCTGAATCTTGTTACACAAACTATGGGAGCACAAGGGATGTACAACTGGGAGATGTTGGGTTTCTTAAAAAGCACTACATAATTTTAATTAATTGAAGTGCTGCAGGCTGTATCCATCAGGCCAGGCTTCCCTTATCCAACTGAAGCCAGTCCAATGCAAATGAATAAAGGGCTGCCTCCCCAGGTAGCAACTGACAAGCTGACTTTGTCCTGCATTATTAGTATTACATTTTCTCATACATGTTTGCTGAAATCCATGCAAACCATGTCTACTAGAATTCAGTGGTTCTTAGCCTTTGTTACTCGGATGCTTTTGAACTGCAACTCCCAGAAACCCCAGTCAGGACAGCTGGTGGTGAAGGCTTCTGGGAGTTGCAGTCCAAAACTCCTGAGTAACCCAAGGTTAAGAACCAGTGTACTAGATCATCCCTGTCCACTTCTTTACTGATACTGTTGAAGACTTAAAAGGTTAGTGAGACAAGAGTTTGGGAAAATCATATTACTTCATTTTCAACAGCAGTTGTCCTTCTATATACTCAATACTGAACTGTTATTGAATTAATTCAGTCCACAGTTACCTTTAACAACTGTTCCCACCAATTTATCTAAAACAGAAAATAAGCTAACTAGGCATTATATCCTATTCTTTGATACAGAGGTTAATGTTAGGGTCATAATACAAGTTTTAAAAGCAACAGTTTCATATTTGAGTTAAAGATGAGGAATATATGAATTTCAGTCATTTGCTTGTTTGTAATTGAACTCCATTTATTTAAGAATGCTACTTTTAAAGGCAGCTTCTACATTATATTCTTACTGAATTGTCAATACATTTCTAACATATTTACTATTTTAAACAATACCTGTTTATTTTGAATGAATTGTGCAACACTTGTATTTATAATGACCACCTGGCAATTCACAAAGCCAAATTATATTTGAAGGCTTAACACTAGGAATATGTATTTAGAACTAGCAGAAATTACTAACCACTTTGTTTAGACTTAGTAAAAACAATAAAAAATTAAGACACACTACTGAATAAAAAGATCTATTTTGCTAAAATAATTATCAATTCATGTTTACCTGGCTCTTTGCTGCATTTCCAATACTCCGTGCTTTAGATCCTAGTGATATACAAGCTCTGAAATACAAAGGAGATACTCATTTTTAAATAAGCCAGAAAGGATCAAATTGCCAGTGTCTAATATATGGAGTTGTAGAAGAGGTAGCCATGTTATGCTATGGAAGCATTATAGGTACAAGCAGAATAGGAAAAAAAAGTAAAAAGACAAAGAAAAAAATATGGTGGCACCTTAAAGACTAACTTTTATATTTTTTTAATTTGAGCTTCTGTGGACATGTCCACTTCATCACTTTCTACAGATAAAGTTCAAAGCCCTGTTCATTCCTGTTGAAAGGAATGACTATAGTAATGCTTACCCTGAAACTTTTGCCAGAAAATACTGTTTTATTCCATGTATAAAACAACACTTTCCCCTAAAATAATTAGAAAAAAAATTGAGGGTCATTTTATCCATGGAAGTAAGGGGGGATCACAGCACTTTCATTCCTGCTTGTTACATACAGCACTGATGTTACCTGTCTGTCATGGGTTTGGAGGGAAAGTTCCATCCTATGGGGAGTGGAAGGCGGGACATCAGGAGGAGGGGCTGTACTGTATATATATGTGGAGTGTGTGTGGAGAAGTTAGAAGAAGAAGGAGAAGAGCTGAGAGAAGAAGCTTGAGTGGGAGTCTGTGTGTCAGACAGGGTACTACTGTGTGTCAGTCAGTACCAACCTGATAGGTTCAGGTGTCTGTATGGTTAGCCAGAACTGATAGGTTCAGGGTCTGTGCTTCAAGTTAAGTGTTCTGTGTGAACCAAACTGTGTGTATGTATGATTGAGACTAAGCCACGTTACTGTATCTTATTCACTTGATCCTTTTATTTTTCCTGTGTGTTATTTAATAAACCTTGTTCTTTTATTTGTTAAAAATCCATCCCTGGTCTGTGTGACTTCTTATAGGGAATGGTTGGTGGCAGCTTAGTGAAACTGTGGCATATCCCAGTAGGTCTGGGTTTGTCACACTGCTTTCCCCCTCACTTTCTTGCGAGGAAAGTGGAGGGGGAAAGCAGGAATCCCCTGGGATTGCACAGTGGGGAACTCCTAACCTCTGGCTTTGCAGCCAGATACCTAAATCAGAGATATCAAGCTAGCTCATGCTTCTAATATAAATGTGTTACAGCTTAAATGTCTTATCATGGTATAGAGATATAAATCCTAAATTTAAACTATAATACAATACATTTCTCCCCTTCATGGATTGCTGCCTCGTCGTGGCGAAGGGGCTTGAATAACTCAGTGAAGCTATGGGCTATGCCATGCAGCGCCCCCCAAGATGGACAGGACATAGTGGAGAGTTCCGACTAAACGCAATCCACCTGGAGCAGGCAGTGGCAAGCCACTCCAATATCTTTGCCAAGAAAGCCCCATGACCAGAAACAAAAGGCTAAAAGATATGACACTGGAAGATGGGACCCTCAGGTCGGAAGGCGTCCAACATTCTACTGAGGAAGAGTGGAGGACAAGTACAGGTAGCTCCAGAGCTAATGAAGTGGTTGGGCCAAAGCTGAAAAGACGCTCAGCTGTGGACATGCCTGGAAGTGAAAGGAAAGTCCGATGCTGCGAAGAAAAATACTGCATAGGAACCTGGAATGTAAGATGTATGAACCTTGGTAAGCTGGATGTGGTCAAACAGGAGATGGCAAGAATAAACATTGACATCCTGGGCATCAGTGAACTAAAATGGACGATAATGGGTGAATTCAATTCAGTTGAGTATCATATCTATTATTATGGGCAAGAAGCCTGTAGAAGGAATGGAGTAGCCCTCATAATCAACAAAAGAGTGGGAAAAGCTGTAATGCGATATAATCTCAAAAATGATAGAACGATGTCAATATGAATCTAAGGCAGACCTTTCAACATCACAATAATCCAAGTTTATGCACCAACCACCAGTGCTGAGGAGACTGAAATTGACCAATTCTATGAAGACTTACAACAACTTCTAAAACTGACACCAAAGAAAGATGTTCTTCTCATTCTAGGGGATTGGAATGCTAAAGTAGGGAGTCAAGAGATAAAAGGAACTACAGGAAAGTTTGGCCTTGGAGTTCAGAACGAAGCAGGGCAAGAGCTAATAGAGTTTTGTCAAGAGAACAAGCTGGTCATTACAAACACTCTTTTAAAACAACACAAGAGACGACTCTACACATGGAAATCACCAGATGGGCAATACCATAATCAGACTGACTATATTCTCTGCAGCCAAAGATGGAGAAGCTCTATACAGTCAGCAAAAACAAGACCTGGAGCTGATTGTGGCTCTGATCATCAGCTTCTTATAGCAAAATTCAA